ATTTATGAATGTGAAACCCCGTGCGCTTCACAGGCCCTCCAGAAGCAGGTGGTGCACTGGGTTTCGGTCCCAGTGTGCTCTACAAGGTCTCTACCACTGAGCTATGGCCTTAGCCTAGGGGTTTGCTGACATTTTGTTGCCTCTGTATTGATAGTAAATTCCCTCTTCAGCCCTGACTTCCTGGCTTTCTGAGGTGAGGTGCTGACAGAGCAGGTGTAGAAAGAGGAAGCAGGTGTCTTGGGGGAACCTGCTTACTTGACTGTCTGGCCTCAGACCTCAGTGTGGAGTTGCAAGCAGGTTCAGGGTATTGACAACACTTCTCACTCCAACAGCAGGTAGCCTGAACCTCAAGACTCTTGTTTCTCAACTCAGAGAGGAGGTCTGTGTGGAACACTCTTGCACTAGCACCCTAATGATGCATTTCTATTGAACCCTCCTGTCTCCCAAATCCAGTCCCAGCTCCAGCCTGGCTGTCCCCGCCATCTGATGCCCAGCTGAAGCTGCTCAGCACACAGGAAGAGGTTGAAATCAGGAATAGAAGGCTGAGTCCCCTTCAAGGGGGTTGAGCCAGGCTTATGGGGGCCACCCTGGAAGGTCTGCGGCACATCTAGCCCTATCGAGGGCTTGGTCTCCAACCAAATAGCTGTGCTTTTTTATTTCGATTTTTGGTGGTGCCAGGGCCTTGTGAATGTCAGACAAGTCCTGTGCTTCTGAGCTACACCCTCAGTCCCCCGAAGTCTAAGGACTGGGTGTTACTATTTCTGCTTCAGAGATGAGGCTATCAGGGCTCAGGCTAACCCACTGTGTTCACAGAACTCCAAGTGGCTCTCAAAAACAGAATTGCCAACAGTTTTGTTACATGTGAAGCAAAGACTAGGAGAGCAGCAGGAACGTTCCAGAAGCGTGAGTGGATAAGCAGGTCAGTGACTGTCCGGTAGAGCAGAGCTTTGGTTTCCTTAGGCAACCACAGGGCTGATCCCTCTGCTCTCAGAGCCTTTAGTGTCTGCTGGCCACACTTCAGCCATGCTGGTCTTTTCCCTTTTACTCATTTAAAAAGGCACAGGTGTGAACCTGTATTATGGAGTCAGCAGCAAGTTGCTGATCCTGACACCTTCCAGAAAGTTTACCCTCTGCCTGGCCTTCCTCCTCCTTTCTCCTTCTTCTTCTTCTTCTTCTTCTTTTTTTTTTTTTTATAAATTTATAAAAATTTCTCCCACCAGGCCAAGTGTGGTGGTACACACCTTTAATTCCAGCACTTTGGATGCAGAGCCCCACAAGTTCAAGGCCAGCCTGGTCTATCTACACAGTGGGTCCAGGTCAACCAGGGATACATACCGTGTCTTAAACAAAATTCACTGAACAGTAAAATCAGTGCCTGTAACACCGATGACAGATCTGTTGGGCGTGACTGAACATGCCACCAGGAAGGCCAGGTTGCTACACTGGTCCCACCTGACAACAAAATGGCTTCCCTCTGTGCCGTGAGTCATTCTTAGGAGAGGTAGAGGCCAGGATGACAGGCACAAAAAGAATGTGTGTGGTGTGGCTGGACATGCACCTGGAGATTATCACAACCCTGGGCACCAGAAGGAAGCCAGGAAGGTGGGATGTTGGGATGAGATGGAGTGGGTCTTCTGCTTCAGGGCCAGGTGCAGCCTACACATTCCCTGGCTGGCTGACTACCTGGGCCTAGACTAAACTCAGTCAGATGAGCTGGGATCTGCTGGCCAAGTCGCCTCTCAAAGGGAGGCTGGGGAAGAGCGAAGGGGATTTTCCACTTAGCACTCGGCTGGCAAGTCCATCAAGGAAATGAGAAAGCCATCAGCCAAGCCATAAGTGTGGTCAGGAGTCTGCTGTGAACCCAGCAGACCCAAAGGATCTTGAAAAAACAGAAACAAGAACTCAGGACACAATCTGAGAACTCTCCTTTTTGGATTTCAGAATTTCCCACAGCGCTATGGGAATCAAGGCAGTGCAGAATGCGTGACTGTGTGCTCGTGTTCCCGCTGGGGATCGAACTGAGGGCTTCATGCAGGTTAAGTAATCACCACCCGTGAACAATACCACCGCTAGCTTGGCAGACATAGGGATGAGTGGAACCCAAGTGCAGAATCAATGGGTCTGGGGATGTAGGTCAGTTGATAGAGTGCTGTCTACTACGTCAAGTCCTGAGTTCAATCCCAGTACCTCATAAACCAGGTGTGGTGCATGTCTATAATACCAGCACTCTGGAGATGATGGCAGGAAGATTAGGAATTCAAACCGAGCCTTAGCTAGCTACATGGTGAGTTCAAGGCCAGCTGGGTTAACCAAGACGCTGCCACAAAACGAAACACCCCAAAACAAGAGGGTTCGAGTGATGGCTCAGCAGTTGACATTTAATGCTCTTCCAGAGAACCCGAGACCAGTTCCCAGCACCCATGGCGGGCAGGTCACAGCCACTTCTCATTCTAGCTCCAGGGGATCAATGTCTACTTCTGGCCTCTGCAAGCACCCAAGTACCTGCAGACACACACACACACACACACACACACACACACACACACACACACACATGCACGCACTCTTAAAAACAAAAGACGTATCACTAAATTGAACAAAACCAATAAACCCCACAGAGATATTACTTCTAAATGCCTAGGGTGAGTGTAGTAAACAATAAAAAGGCGGGTATGTTTTTAGTCAAGGTATGGGGGGTGGGGGAGAAAGAAAGAAAGAAAGAAAAGAAAGAAAGGAAAGAAAGAAAGAAAGAAGGAAAGAGAGAAGGAAAGAAAGAAAGAAAAAGAAAGAAAGAAAGAAAAAGAAAGAAAAGAGAAACCCCTCCAGTTTGCTGGTAGGACTAATCAGTGATGTAGCCCCATTGGAAAAGTGTCTTTCAGTGCCTCACAAGACTAAGCCACAAGACCCATTCTACTCTCAGGCATATCTAAGAGAACCTGTGTTCAAACAAACATCTGATGAACATTCAGAATGGCCTTGTCCATAATGCCAAAAAGCAGAAACAAACATCTGCCACTGACGAGTGGATAAATCCAATGTGGTATGTCTATGCAGCGCTCCAGCTGGGAAGGTAAGCCTTCACTAAGGATAACATGCACTCAATGGAGCAGTCCAGATCCCAGGAGCCATAGAGCTGGGGATGGAAGAGGTCAGTGTGAGGAGTAAACCATCTTCTATACAGGCGGCCCCACCCCAGTGCTCTAAGTGGGTGGCTGGATGGCATAGTCCTGTCTGTGGTAGGTCTGCACGGGGGTGGTGGGGATCAGCAGTCACCCACATGAAATCACGTTGGACACACAAGCCAGCATCTAGGATTGACTAACTCAGTGCCTCCCGTCCTTACGAATGGAGTGCAGAGGAGGGAAGCAACAAGCCCAGGGCTGCTGCACGGCGGACTTCCTCAGGGCTCTCCTACCCAGGCTCCAGGGCCAGATGAGCAGCCATGGGCACCGCGCCTCGCCCACACTTCTGCTCTGCTTCGTTCCCACTTCCACCAAGAGGCTTCCCTTGGGGCTGCTCTCAGTCGGTGTCCTCCACACTCAGGGACATTACTGTGACTATCTAGGCAGGTAGACAGGTACTTCACAGGTGTCAGGCACTTTTCCACTGTACTAATATTAAAAGAAAAGTGTTGGCTGGGTGGTGGTGGCGCACACCTCTAATCTCAGCACTCGGGAGGCAGAGGCAGGCAGATCTCTGAGTCTGAGGCCAGCCTGGGTTCTAGACCAGCCAGGGCTACACAGAGAAACTCCAAGCAGTGCTTTGCTGTTTGCCCTTAAATCTATGTTCTCCCTTTGTCCTGCTTGATCTCTTGGATCTTGATCCCTATGACCCTGTCACCCAGGTCTCCTAGCCACTGGGCTCCCAATTGGATTCATCCACTGGGAAATGGATACTGGGATCCTGGAAGGGCGGAAGAAGGAGAAGTTGGCAGTTCTTCTTTCCTGTGCCCTTCTCTGCAAGCTCTCAAGGTTCTGTAGTGGCTAGACCCTGCCATTGTCCTCCCCACGCCAGCTCTTCTGGACCCTAGCCTCCTCTCTGCCTGAGGGGCAGTCCTATTTCTACCCTTGCTTGTTTCTGGGTACCTCCGGTTCACTGTTGCTTCCCTTCACCTAGTGGCTCCTCTCCGGGAAGGACACTTCTCCTTAAGGGACATCTGCCTGTCTGGAGACAGTTCTGGTTGTCACAATTAGGAGGTGGTGCTATTGGCATGTGATGGGTAGAGACAGGTTAGGGTTGCTGCTAACAGATTGTAAGGCACGTGCCAGCCACTCCCAGTGCCAGCAGGGCCCAGGGTAAGAGCTTAGCCTCAACCAAAATGTCTTATAACTCATTCACTAGAGTCTATCTGAGTTCAGCAAACGGGCAAACTGTCTTTAGGGTCACCAGTAATGACAGGTTGGGTCTTCCTCCATCCGAGGCAGATATGGGGTTGTTTACCTCTTTATCTCCCCTTTCTGGAAGGCACCCCTAGGACATGCCCTTTGCATCCTCTGGAGAGATAGGGCAACAGGTTACAAGCAGCCACTTTCCCTGACCAGCTGTCCATTGAGCCTTTTCTGCCCACAGGCGGAAAAGTCTTCCGGGTCTGAAGAATAGCATACCACCACCATTATTTGACATTTAAGAAATACTTGGAAAAAAAAAAAAAACTTTTCAAACATTAGAATTTTGCTTTTGCTTTATTTTCCACCTGTTTCCAAAGGAAACAAATGGCCTAGGTCCCCACAAGTTCTTGCAGTCCTACCTCTCCGTAGTGGGGGCTGCAGAGAGGTGCTGATCTGGTATTATATATGTGGAAACAAATTTCCTTAGCAAACACCATCACTATCACCCCCCCCCCCCCCCCAATCCGGATCTTGGGTCTCCAGAGTCCTCTCTTGGCCCCGCCTTGTAGGCGTGACAGTTACTGAAGCCTCAATGGGGGTTGGAACTTCCAGATCAAGGTTGGAATGGCTACCCGCCCCCCCCCCCCCCGCCCCGCCCCCAGTCCTGGCTGTCCTGGAACTCACTTTGTGACTATACTGGCCTCAAACTCATAGAGATCCTCCTGCCTCTGCCTCCTGAGTGCTGGGATTAAAGGTGTGTGCCACCACTGCCCAGCTCTTTTTTTTTTTCTTTCTTTTTAAAGACAGGACCTCATTGTAGCCTAGTCTGGTCTCAAACCTACTTTATAGATAAAGATGACCTTTAACTCCTGCTTTTCCTACGTCTACCTCTGAAATGTTAGGATTACAGGTATGTGTTACAATGCTTGGTTCCTTTTATTTCATTTTAAGGAAAAGATTATTTTAAAAATGGTTTTTAAAAAGTTTTATTATTTCATTTATGTATAAGAGGGAGATTATATATATATGTATAAGAGGGAGATATTATATATATATATATATATATATATATATATATATATATATATATATATATATATAGAGAGAGAGAGAGAGAGAGAGAGAGAGAGAGAGAGAGAGTGTATGCTTTCAGGCACCCTTGGAAGCTAGAAGAGGATGTCGGATCTCCTGGAATTTGAGTTCTAGGCAGATAGTTGTGAGAAGCCCATGTGGGTGCTAGGATCTGAACTCAGGTCCTCTGGAAAAGCTGCAAGTGCTCTTAACCAGTGAGCCATCTCTTCAGCTGCCCCACCAACATGCTTTAAAGTTGAAATAACAATAACTTAGAAAATACAAATTCACATCAAAGAACTGAGAAAATGCATCCCCTCCTCCATTTAAATTATTTATTTAACTTTATTTTTTGTTTTCAAGACAGGATTTCACTATGTTGCCCTCAATGACCTGGAATTTGCCATGTTCACCATGCTAGCCTTGAACTCACAGAGATCCACCTGCCTCTGCCTCCTGGGTGCCTCTTAATTTAAAAGACAGATGCAGCTGGGCTGGAGAGATGGCTCTTCCAGAGGACCTGAGTTCAGATCCCAGCACCCACAGCCAATGGCTTACAATTGCTTGTAAGTCAAGGTCCATGGGAGCCCATAGCCTAACTTCTGGCCTCTGCCTCTTGGGGACACCTGTGTTCACATGCACATACCTCTTCCTGCTACCGGTAATTAAAAAAAATTCTTCAAGAAAGTATGGCTACACCCAGTTTGAACCCAAACAAGCATCTCCTAAGAGCGTGCACCTCTGGTCCAGGAGGGCCAGAATTCAGGAAAAGGGTTAGGTTACAGCTGCTTAACAGCAAGCTAGCAGAGACTTACCCAGCATTTTTGCATTCCAATCACACTAACACATAAGGATGGGACTCAGACAAACATTCCACCTTCAGTAGCCAAATCTGTGAACAGCACATGTTCTCCAAGGACTGAGAGGCCCCCAAGGCCATCAGGGAACTTCTGATATGTCATTGTTACGTGTTTTCTGTGTTGGTCTCCTGAGCTGCCGGGTCTCTCAGTGCCTGTGCCTGCACAGGGTAACAGGCCTGCCACGTGGCCCTGCTAAGTAGAGGACCGAGCCCAACCCAGGCTACTTGGGCCTTCACATGGCAGAGTCTCTGGCTCTTCTCCTCCGGGAAACCACCACCTGTACAACCTCTGGTCACTAGGCCTGCTCCTTGGTGGCTTCCTTCTGCTGAATACCCAAGGGTCCCATTCAGGCAGCTCTGAGGATGGTGGATGCCTTGTGTTATTCCTGGAAGGGCAATCTGACCCCACCTTATGAGCCAAGGACGGCAATGCCGACACACTGGGAAGCCCTCGTGGGGTACCAGGGAGACCTGGGCTCCCTTTCCATGGGCTGCCTCTTCCCTAGCCAGGGCAGAGCTCAGTGGTTTTGCATGCACATTCTACATTCCTCACTCACCAGATACCCTGAGACATTTCTTTTCCCCTTCCAAGAAGTCACTTCAGTGTTCCTTAGCTGATTTCACAAGTGAACGTCTCTCTTAGAAGACATTTCTTCTAAGCCTAAGCTCTGAATCTCCTGGCTACACACAGGGTCTCTCTGTGTAACAGCCCTGGTTGTCCTGGATCTCGCTCTGTAGCCCAGGCTGGCTTCAAACTCACAGAGATCCGCCTGCCTCTGCCTCCTGAGTGCTGGCATTAAAGTCAAGCACCACCACCACCACCCAGCTCAGCCTGAGCTCTTAAGACTAAATGTCTCTTATGAATTTGCAAAGCCACTGTAGCCCAGTCACTGCCTGGCCCTTGTCCCTTGGCTGACACACACATATACATATACTCACATACCATAAATAAATGCAAAAAAGAAAAAAAGATTTTGAAAGTCTGTTCAAAATGTCAAGTACCTATGATCTCAAAGTTTTTGGGAATCACTGCTCTCCATCTGGGACTGAACACAGAGCCTTGTGGATGCTGGCCAAGTGACCTACCACTAAGCCACATTCTCAGCCCTAGGAATTTTCTATCTTGAAACTGAATTTATGCTCAAGCGTCCCCTTAACAGCCTTATCTGTTCCATGTCACTATTATTCCCCAGCAGCAGCCCTGGAAATACAGTTCCCCTCCCTGGGACCCACCTGCTGACATGGCCCTAGACTGCTGGAAATGGGGAGCTGAACTTGAAGAAGGCCTGGGAGAGGGAAGCGAAGCAAGGATATAAAAACCTCTCAAGAACAAGGCATGGAAGAAACACCAGTTCAGAGGAGGGCAGGGTACAGGGTGGATGCATGTATTAATTTTTAAATTTTCAAAAATTGTGTGTGTGTGTGGTGTATGTATAGAGGATGTTTGTGTGTAGGTTAATATGGGTGTGTAGGTGTGCGTGTATAGGTGTGTGTGTGTAGGTTTATGTGTGTGTATAGGGGATGCTTGTGTGTAGGTTTATGTGGGTATATAGGGGTGTGTGTGGGTGTATGTGTGAGTATAGGGGATGTTTGTATGTAGGTTTATGTGTATGTGTATAGGGGATGTTTGTGTGTAGGTTAATGTGGGTATACAGGTGTGTATGTGTGTGTGTGTGTGTGTATAGGGGATGTTTGTGTGTAGGTGTGTGTGTGTGTAGGTGTAGGCCAGAGGACAATCTACAGGAGTTGGTTCTTTCCTTTCACCTGAGTGGATCTAACTCAAGGTCATTAAGGCTCAGTGCCTGAACTGACGTCCTGCCCCAGCTTCCCGAGTACTGGTATTATGGGTGTACATCATCACCCTACTTGAAGATGGGTCTATAGTAACAAGGGTTCAGACTTGGCATCCAGTGAAGTCCCCTTTCCTCCTATCACTGTCCGGAAAAAGCAGGTTGTTTCTGACGTTGCTGTGAATATGATTAGCAAAAATCATCAGTACAAAGTCAGACTGGCTACAGCACACGACAGGCACCCTAACCAGAAGCCACTCTGTAAGTGACAAGGAAAGCTGCAACAGCTGTAGGAATGCAAGGGCACTGAGACTCGGTGGAGGGGACACAAAACTAAGTCAGACACAGTCTACAAAGGCGAGTGGAAAAGCTTTTCTGGAGTACAAATCCTGATATTCCCCTTATTAAATTTACACACGGAGGAGTTGCTACTCGAGACAAGAATGGAAACCGTGAGACTTGGGTCTAACTGCCTGCCCTCTACAGGAAACTCATCTAGGAGTTAAGTTGGCCTCATGAAGTTATGATGAGAGTCATTTCTTGAAATTACCTAAAAAGTAATCCATGTTGGTATAATTCAGATTAAAATTTGTTTTTTACGAAGTCACAGTGTCCTCCAGGTCAATGATGAGGTCAAACACACTGACGTTATTCTGGAATGTGTGTAGGCCTGGGGGAGAAAGGAGGCCAGCAGCCGTGTGTCTGTCCAGTCCTCACTTTGGAAGGGGCAGCCTGGCCTGCCCCAATGTCCTCCTGTCTTGGCATTCAGGGCTGCTGGGCTCTACAGGTGCTATGCTTTGGGGCTCTCTGGGACTCTCTTTTGTCCTGGCCTCTGTCCCAACAAGGGAGCCCTGGGACCCATTGCAGACTTGCCCCAGCTCTGTCCCACTCATGCTGCTGAGAATGACCTGTCAAAGTAGCCTGAGCAGCTGGGCACAGTGGCCCATGCCTGTAATCTCAGCGCTTGGGAGGCGGAGGCAGAGGACCAGGCATTCAGGACCAACTAGGGCTACATGAGACGGCCTCAAAACCAACCAACCGGTCAACCCAACCCAAACAAACCATTCCACAAACAGAAGCAGCCCCGACCAAACCGTGCCTTGGGGAGTCTCACTGCCTCCTTCCGTGGCTCTTTTCTCATGGGAGTATGTTCTCAGGTCTCTGGGCTGTGGCTCCTTCTGCTGCTCAGCTCCTTCTCCGTCCTAGTCAACCTTCTCGAGGTACCCCTATCTTTTCATCTGCCTACGTGAATCCCCCTCCCCACTTCGTCTCGGCTCACTGTCACTGTCCTCTCTTTGGAGCTCTTCCCCATCTAAGGAGACTCGAGTACCTTGCCTTTACTCTTTTTGATTCTTCCCAGAATTAGCAATCAGGGTAGCATGCTGACTCCCACTGTTTAAGGGGTGCAGAGGGGTACATCCCTGCTGTGCCTTGTCAGAGCCTACTTAGTGGGAATATCCATGAAAAAAGACCTCCACTATCTCAAAATAGTTAAAACACATAACTGCCATATGACCTGAAACTCCACTCCCAAGTACAGACCCCAAAGAACTGGGACTTAACAACATGTACATGGACAATCAAAGAAACACTCTTTTCAACAGTCAGAGGGAGGTAACGAACCAACGCCCATACATTAACAGATGAATATAGAGACAAAACACGGCATGTCGACATAATGGAATATTACTAAGCCACACAAAGTAAGTCTTGCTTCAGCCTACAAAGTGAACGGGCCTTATAAACACTGAATAACGGCGAGCACCAGTGCATGTTATACCGTTCCATTAGATGAAGTATCTAGAGAAGGAAGGGTCCTGGAGACAGGAAGCAGACTGCTGGCCTTCAGGGGCTGCTTAATGGCTGTACTTCTTCAGAGGAGTGATAAAAATGTTCTGGAACCACATAGTAGTGATGGTTACATAACACTGCAAATATATTAAATGTCACTGACTGTATACTTTCAAATGGTTCATTTTGGGCTGGCAGGATAGTGGACAAAGACGCTTGCCTCAAGGGCCTGACAACCTGACCTGGATCTCCAGATACCACACAAAGGCTGTCCTCTTGGCTCCACATGCAAGCTATGGCAGGGCACTCCCCGCCCTCAAAAACAATCAAACTTTAAATGTGGTGCTGCCAACTGAACCTGGGTCCTTTGCCGGACGGAACAAGTGTTCTTTATCACTGAGCCACCTCTCTAGGCCTAAAAAGGTTATAATTTTATGTTATATAATTTTCAAATCAATTTAAAAAAAGGAGGAGTTTCAAGGAAATGTGGCAGGCAGCATGGTCAGAAAAGAGGACTCTCGATAAGGCATTCAAGAAAAATGGGAGCTTAAGAAGTGCCTGTTCCATGAGCACTGTCCTTAGACATAGTCCCTAAGCCTGAGAAGGGAACAGACCCAGGGTTAAAGGGCCTGTTCCATGAACACTGTCCTTAGACACAGTCCCTAAGCCTGAGAAGGGAACAGACCCAGGGTTAAAGGGCCTGTTCCATGAGCATGTCCTTGCACACAGTCCCGAAGTCTGAGAAGGGAACAGACCCAGGGATAAAGAGTGAGGAGGCCTGGGCGCATAGCTCAGTGGTGGGGTGTGCTTAGCAGGCATGACACCCTGGATTCCATCCTTGGACAACAAATCAAGCAATGAAGATCGGTAGGAAAGTGGGGAGGCTACCCTCCTCCCTATGGGCGGGCCTGGGCTCGGATTAGGACACGGTGTAGGGCAGGACGACTAGAGTGTGTGCAAGCCCAGGGGGGTGGTCGGCACAGCCCCTAAGCAAGGCTGCTTTCCTGCACCTCAGCCCAGTTAGCAATGAAGCCAGGGGTTTCCCATCCAAGTCACCTGCCTGGCTAGCCTCAGATGGCAGTGGACTCTGAGGCCTGGAGCTCCAGGGGAACAGGGATGGCATCACAAAGCCGCAAGGAGAAATCTCTTTCCCCAATTACGTGGACCCACGTGTCTGCTTCATAGTTAGGATTTTCATAAAGCTTTTAAGGAAGGCGATTCCCTGACATCACACGTAAAAAATGCCAAATACGATCAGATCACTGAGGGCATTCTTGGAAGAGAAGGCAGCCTTGAGGCTGGCTGGGGTCCCCTGTCTTCTCCCTTAGGGCCACTTGCTGCTCTTGATCCCAGCCCTCTGGGTGCCCCCTCTGTCAGCTCAGCTGTCCAGTGGCCCTCATCTGAACAACACTGGAGAACTGTATGCTCCCCAGAGGTGTGGTAGAGTTTCTGGGGAGCGGCATGTGTCGTTCCACCCTGGGCCAGCCTACAGTGGGGGTGAAGGAAGGGAATCTCCTTCTACTGGGATCCTTAGGAGTCACTGTTAAACTGCCTTTCCCCTTCCCAGTTCATTCTGCAACCAGAAATGTTCCAGGCTTGGGAAACAGAGGTTTGCTTTTTTTTTTTTTGAGACAGAAACAAACAAACAAAACAAAAATAGGGTCTCTCTATGTAGCCCTGGCTGTCCTGGGACGCACTCTGTAGACTAGGCTGGCCTTGAACTCACAGAAATCCATCTGCCTCTGCCTCTGGAGTGCTAGGATTAAAGGCCTGTGCCGCTGCCGCCGCCGCCGCCGCCGCCGCCGCCGCCGCCACTGCCGCTGCCGCCGCCACCACCACCACCCGGCTTGAAACAGTGATTTTTCTTAAAAGCCTATTTTAGATGGCTTCTGGCTTCGGAAGGCTCAGGGACAGGGCACTTGCTCAGCATGTGTGAGGCTCTGGTTTTGATCTCCAGGGGGAGGGGAGCCATTATGAAAACAGTTCTTCAGTCCAAATCTGTTGTGCTGGGACACACTCATCGCTCCTGTCATCCTGTGTCCCCTTCCTCCTGGCAGATGTACTGTACTCCAGCCCTCCAGCTGCAGCCGCGCCTTCTCCTCCCGGCCTCTGCTTTGGATACCCGGCACTCTCAGCCGGCCTGTCTCTCCCTCTGCAGTCCACCCTAAGCACTTGGCAGTCTTGTGAACCTGAGCAGCGGAGCTGGCCTTCTGCTGCACGTTAGGCATACTCAGTGCCCTTCACATCAGGAAGACGTCCTGTTGGCATTTGCTTTCCTCGTCCTTCAATCCGTCAATCCCAGTTTCGATGCTCCAAGTAAGCACTAGCGTTTGGATTAGTTTGGTTTATGGTTCCAGAGGACAGCATGGCAGCAGGCGGCAGAGCAGGAGGCTGGCTGATCACGTATCAGGAAACAGAGGGAACTGCAGTGGGCTGAGTCTGGAACTCGCAAAGCCCACCCCCAGTGGTGGACTTCCTTGTTCACAAAGTTCCAGAACCTCCCCAAACAGCATCACCAACTGGGACCAAATGTTCAAGTGCAAGAGCCTATGGTGGGGAGATACACATTGAAATCTATATATTTATTCAAACCACCACATTTGACGCCTTTCCCCCATAGGCCTGAGGTCATCTCAGGATGCAAAATGATGTTAGTCCAACATTAAAAGTCCCCAAAGCCTTTAATAGCTTCAACACTGTCTAAAAGTTCAAAGTCTCTTAAGTCTCAAGGTAATCTCTTGACTGTAACCACAATAGAATCAAAACACAAATTACTCCCAGCATAGAATGACACAGAATATACACTCCATCACCCCCCCCCCCCCCCCCCCGCCCCCAGGAGGGGATGGGGCATAGAGAGGAAATACTGGGCCTAAGCAAGACTAAGACCCAGCAGGGCAAACACCCAATCTTGCAGCTTCGCGCCTGGTATCTGGGGCTTTGGTTTCACAGGGCCTGGATGGCCCTGTCTCTCCACCTTTGCTGCCTGGGACACACATCTTTCTTTGGGGCTGCTTCCATCCCCATATGCAGCCCTTGGGCAGGTGTCTCACAGCTCCGGCATCTTCAACATCGTGGCGTCCTCAATGCAACCCAAGTTTCACCTTCACAGCTCTATGCACTATCCTCTCATGGCCTTGCAGGGACTCTAGCCCTGTCACACAGGGCTTGGCCTCAGTGGTCCTTGCAACCACCGAGGAAGAACCCACAACTCCCTCCTCCTTGTATCTTTTAGGCCTCCAAAGATAGTAAGTAGCACATGGACAACACTGACATGTTTGACTCCCAGCTTGGACTCACACTAGCAGCAGCTTTTGTATGCAGGCTCTTTCTAAAAGCAAGAAACTCCTTAGGTTCTCTAGCATAAGTTGGGGGCTTAACTAGTGGGGTCTTACCCTTGAGGAACCTTTCTTACTGTTTCAGTACAGTGGGAGAGGCCTCTTCTTACCTAATCTTAACAACTACAGACTATACATTAAGCTCCCTAGTGCTCTTTACTTGGCAAGCTGTGTTTTGTACTTTTTTCTGTTCCACTTACCTTGTCATTTTAGAGCTGCCTAAGAGTAATCAGTAATAACCACGCCACAGACTCAACATTATACAGTCTTGAAATTTCGCCATCAAAGAAATTAGTCCATTACATTTAAATTTTGTCCAAGCAAGTTCTTAGTATATGGGCGGAAAGCAACCACATTCTTTGCCAAGTTACCACAAGGATGGTCTCTAGCCCAGTTGCTGACAGAGACCTTGTTCCCTTCTGAAAAACTCATCAGCCAGGCCTCTGCCGTCTGCATCACTCTTAGCACGACTCCTAGACTGGCCTGTTAAGCTCTGCTTACAGCTTTCAACTGCTATTCTAATCCAAAGTTCTACAATCTTCCACATTCCTCCAAACAAACAAACAAACAAACAAACAAACAAACAAACAAATAAATAAATAAATAAATAAATAAATAAAACAAACCATGGCCAAGTGCTTCACAGCAACAACAACCCCATTCTCTGGTGCCAGCCTCTGTACTGCTTTATTGTTGCTGTGATACAATGTCATGACCGTAGCAGCTCACAGAGGGAAGAGTTTGTTTTGCTTTATGGGTACAGAGGGTTAGAGCCCCATAACGGCCTCCATAGGCTCATGTACTTTAACACTCGGTCCCCGTTGGTGGTGCTGTTTGGGGAGATTATAACTTTTAGGACAAGAAGTCTTACTGGAAGCACATCAGTGGGGCAGGTGTACCCCACTTCCAGTTTGCTTCTGTTCCCTGGTGTACTGACAAAATATGACCAGCCAGCCCTCTACTCACCTGCTGAGGTTCAGCTCTAATGAACTCCCCTCTGAAGAGCCTCTCTTCTCTACCTTCGCTCAATGACAAAGGCTTATGAGAATCTACACGGACCAGGATCCCGGGTTCTACATGATGCAGAGACCAGCCCCCCCCCCCCCCTCCTTCCTCTTCATCCCTCAGGGCCTGGGGCTTGCGTTCTCCATCCTCTCACTTATTCCAGCCTCCTATTTCCATAGCAACAGATCACAAAGGGTTTCTTAGTACACGGCTTTGCTCAGAGGGCTGGCAGATTTTTAAAATAAAATATACTACTACTACTACTACAACTGCTAGGCCCAGAGAGGAAGGGAGAAGGAGCAGAACACGTGGCCTTTTTCCCATTCACTCATAAACCAGGTACCGTGCAGCGGGAAGTGCCACATTCCTCTCTGAAAACATGTTTGGGTTTAATGTAGGTGCAGGTTATTTTATATACACATATAAATATCCTACCTTTTGTTCAAGGTGCCTATTTGCTCTGCACAGAGACCAGTATGAATACAGAAAAGTGTTCATTGTTAAATATGGCATGCTAAATGGTTTTGCTCCTGGCAAAGCTCCAAACCATAATTATTAAGGGACTACAGCTGCTGAGAAACTCTTGGGTTACAGGAGGCTTTGATCCTATCCTGCCTTCTTCCCCCAACATGAATTGCCACAGGTGTGGCTGCTCCTCAATGCTGGCACTCTGGAGGTATGGGTCAGGCCTGAACTTAACTGCAAGGTGACCAGGCACTTCTCACTTAGACCTCGACTATCAAGAGAAGGCTCTGCTTCCCCTTTGCTATGCTGAGACCCTGTAATCAAGAGAATTTCCAAGATGAGTCCCGTATGGGAACTGGAATGCTGTGGCCTCTCACCTTCAGACCCCACACACAGTGGGCAGCTTCCAGTGAACTAAAGTCTGCACTAATGGCTCTGTAGGACTTTGCTGGCAGAAGGCCGAGGGCTTCCAATGGGTGAGGTGGTTATTTCATTCTCATCAAAGGGGAGAGGACTGCTGTCAGATTCTCTGGGTAACAGCTATTTGGCAAGCATGGTCCTCAAATTCACCCCAGTGCCTCCTTTAGAGAGTAAAAAAGACACCTGCTTTCATCACAAACATCGAGTTACTACTGTGATTCAGCAAGAAACTGAATGGCAGACCTAGGTTTTCAGCCCCTTAGAAACACTCAGAAGTCCCTAAATCCCCAACAGAAGAAAAGAGCCTCCAAAATTAATGTGCTTAGGACCCCACTTAGTGGATAAACAGGATTGTACAACAGACACTAAGTGTCTGATTTTTCAGCACGAAGAAACTACTACCTGGCATTTGGGTCAAGGATGAACCCTGTTTGTCTTTTACTGTTGGTTTTTATTTGTGTTTTGATGCAGATGTTTTGTGAGCTATGGAATCCCCCCATCTTATGGATGGTGAAACCGACACCCAAGAATGGTGCCAACTAGTTCAGATGGGAAGTCACTTCTGATTCCGGGTCAGCCGCCTATCTCCAAAACAGCACAGCTCTGCAAAGCTCTCCTGTCCAGATGGGAACACTGGCCTGGGTCAGGAGATGCTCTGTGCTGGGAAGAGGGATGGAGAGATGCACACAGAGAATGGGCAGCAGAGTCTGAGGCAGTCAGTGGGTTCTGATGCAGGGGAGCTCAGAGGACTGTCCAGAGTAGACTATCTGGTGTTTGGAGGGAGCCAGAGCAGGAAAGCAGAACGCTATGAAGAATCCACCATAACTGAGAGGGGTCGACTTCCCTGGTTAGTCAGGCCTAGGAGGATTCTAAGGTTTCTTCTGATCAGGCCAACTTAGTGGGAATCTCCCCGCACCCACACCATTACAGTCTAGGCCACTCCCACCTTCCCCAGGGGCATCTGTTCGAGGAGGATGCACATGAGCTCAGCCTGGATATGGGAGCCCTTCCTTCCTGCTCAAGGTGAAGGTCAGTGATTCACATGGCTAAAAATGAACTGAAGGCCACCCATTAAAAACAGCAACATGCTCTCAAAAGTTCAATTCCCTTGTTACCACAAACGCTTATTTAGTCACTGTAACTCTAACTCGCACTCAAATATGTACACTGAACTGCAGTACAAACAAAATGAGGAAAGAGAAGGTCAGGGTGGGAAAGCCACAGAGACACAGCCCCCCCCCCCCCCGGCAGGAGTGGGAGGGTCTGCGGCCCTGACAATGTGTCCTGGTGTTCTAATACTGCTTCGTGTTGCTAGTGCCTTTACCTGGAAGCTTCCAGAGAGAGGGGAGCTAGGGTAAATACAGGTCACTGGGCTTCATTTGAATTTTAGGTAAACAATGGATTATAATTGTTTACTATCAGTATTTCCAAATAATGTCCGGGGTGTTGAAGTTTATGAGTGAGTGAGGCGCTTTACTAAGGCATTTTGCTAAGTTGTGGTGAACTCAGGAGTCAGGATGAGGGGTGCGGTGGGTTACAGACCTCCTGCCATGGTCCCCTGTCAGCTTTTGGTCTCTGAGCACTCTCCTCTTCAGCTGAGACTGTTCTGCCTCTGTCCCTGCAGAGGGGCTACAGAAACTACACCCAACTTCACAGGACTTCCCCTGGACTGCAGGGAACATGGCCTGTGGGAGGCTTCCAGAAGGTTCTGGAGGTTCCATGGTAGGAAGTAAGGTTGTGGGAGCACAAAGGAACCCTCAACACTAAAACAAACATTGTCCCTAAGTCTTGGGGAGTTCAAAAAGGAATTTTCAATTCAGTTTAGCTGCCACACAGCTTTCTGAGTAGAGTGCCTAAGCTGGCTTCCCCAGCTAAGGAAGAAGGGAGCTTTCAGTTCTTTATGGCACGTTCACTGGGCACTGGCTGAGGACCCACAGTGATGGGCGACAGGGATCACCGCAATTTGTTAAGGAGCCAAAAGAGGCTGCCTTGAGACAAAAACAAAGACTCGATACTTTGAGTCCATGAGTCCTGAAGTCCAGGGAGTCTTCAGTCATGGCTGCTGGCTAGGGAAACCTGGCAAGGTCACACATCACCACTGGCTGCAGCTGTTTAACCCCGTGCTGACTGCCACTGAATGCACACCTGGCTGTGCATTCACACACTCACACTCCTTGCTAGGTCCCTGCAGTTGGAGGGGACTGGAATGTATAGTATAGCTTTCTAGATGTACAAGTCCTGGCTGTCCTGGCTCTCACATTGTAGACCAGGCTGACCTCAAACTCACAGAGACCTGCCTGCCTCTGCCTCCCGAGTGCTGGGATTAAAGGTGTGCACCACCACCACCTGGCTTCATTTTCTTTTTTTAAAATAAAAAATTTACATTTTATTTATTTATTTTATTTATTTATTTATTTTGTGAGCATTTGTGGATGTGTGTGTACAAGTGTGTATATGTGCCATAAGCATGTGTGTAAAGTCAGAGGAAACTTGTGGGAATTGGTTCTGTCCTTCTACCACGTGGGGTCCAGGGATCAAATTCAGCTTGTCAGGTTTGCTGGCAAATGCCTTTACCCACCGAGCACCTCACTGGCTTCTTTTCCTTCCTTGAGACTTGCTATTTAGCCCAGGCCATGCTTGAACTTGTGACAATCCTCCTGCTGATGTTAGGATTACAGGCATGCACACAATGCCCAGTATGTTCTGTTCCTTTCCCAAACAGCAGTATCTCATGGTGCCTGTACATGCTAATTCATATGGATCTACGCCATGACTTTTACCTTCTGCTGTCTAGGAAGGGATTCAAGTTTATTTAATTCTTTGGTGTACACTTGGGTTGTTTTATCTAAATAGTATTAAAGGGCTTGACACTGTCCCCCCTGAACATGGAGGGCCTCACAAACCATAGCAGTGTCTCTGTTGTTCAAGCTTCTCTTGGAAGCACTGGTAAAGGGATACCTAACACTTTACATTTCACTTCCATCGTACTAAGCAACTTAATTTGGAAACGTAGATGTCAGTGCACTTCATCCTCTGAGTGTGTGTCCTCCAGGATGCCTGTTCACGTTATTCTTTCCTTTTTATTTCTTCTGGTGCTGTGGACGGAACCTAGGAACTACTTGCATGCTCTACCACTGAGCTACCTGCTCCCCTTAAGCCTACTTTCTCCTTCAAAAATTTTTTATTTTACATGTGTGGGTGTTTTGCCTGTGTATATATCTATGCACCACGTGTGCCTGGTACACAGAGGAGGCCAGAAAAGGGTATCAGATCTTCTGGATGTAGATGTTGAGAATTGAACCCAGGTCTTCTGGAAGAGCAGCCAGTGATCTTGACCACTGAGCCATCTCTCCAGCCCCCCTCTCCCCACTTCTGAGACAAGATTTCTCTGTGTAGCTTTGGCGCCCTTCCTGGAACTCACTCCGTAGACCAGGCTGGCCTCAAATGCACAGAGATCCGCCTGGCTCTGCCTCCCGAATGCTGGGATTAAAGGTGTGCGCCACCACCGCCCGGCTCCTTACTCTCTTTCTATAAGCATTGTAAAGCTGTGAAAGTTTCACTCTGTGATCTGTGAAGTCATACTACGATCACCACCTATGTCTACTATTTGAAACACATTCTGTTCTTCCTCTTGCTGTTTACCTAGAATAGTTCTAAGCATCCCTTTATTTCCAGAGACTGTGTTATTAAAGGGGCATCCCTTTATCAAAAAGACAGAGAGGTACACCTGTTCCCTTTAGAAAGATTAAGTCTAGGTAATGTGCCCAGCCCATTTCTTTGCACACCTCGCAGTTAAGCATGATCATGTTATTAAGTGGTAGCTGATGAAATAAGTGGAGTGTACCACAGAACTCTGGGAAAATCCTCAAAGGGGAAAAGACATGCTCTCGGATGTTCCTTCTTCTCATGTGCAATGAGTCTGGCATGACTAAGGCTTCCAGCAGCCATACTGGTCCAAGCAGTGACCCAGGAACCTGCGGATGCCTGGGATAGTGAGGCAAAGACAGAGCAAGTTTGGATTCCATGAAACACAGAGCTGTCATTCATGGCTCCCTCATTGTGAATCGTTATTTGGTTTGTCTATGACATGCAGATATCAGGATTACCAAATGCTCTACTAGATTTTTGTCTTAAAAAAAGTGCTGTACCTGATGGTCCATACCTGTAATACAAGCTGTTCAAGAAGCCGAGGCAGAGGGGCTGCAAGTTCAAGGCCTGTGTAGTCCACAGTGAGTGCAGACTTCATGAGACCTTATCTCAAAATGAAAAGTAAAAAGAATCCCGGGGATGCAGATCAGTGGTGGAGTCCTTGCCAAGACAGCGCAAGAACCCATAATCAGTCCTCAATAAAAAAGCCCTTAACCTGACATTGTCATTACCATTCTTTCCACTTTCTTGTATCAGGTGGACCAGCAGTTATTCCGGAAGGGCTGGAGAGATGCTCAGAGGTTAAGAGCTTGCACTGCTCTCGCAGAAGACTTTGGTTAACTTTCTGGCACTCCTGCCAGGCTGCTCACAGCTGTCTGTAGTCCAGTTCCAAGGAAGCTGGTACCTCTCGGGCCTTCATGTGGACTTGACTTATGTGCTTGCGCTCTCGCTCTCTCTCTCTCTCTGTGTCTCTCTGTCTCTCTCTCTCTCTCTCTCTCTCTCTCTTAAAATATGTTTTAAAAGGCTTAGCAAATCTGATGATCATTTATTTTCCAAGATCACTACCCCATTGTTTTTGAGACAAGGTCTCATGCAGTCAAGGCTGACTCTGAACTCCCTACAGAGCAGAAGATGAACCTGAACTGATCCTTTCCTCTCTACTTGACAAGTGCTGGATTACAGGCATCCTCCACCACGCCGAACCCAGGGGCATCTTGCCGCGTTCTTTGTACTGCATGAAAAGAACCTTTACTGAGCTGTTCCCCTCCTGATTTAGAGTGCTAGGGTGGTATCTGAGGTTGGAAAGCCAGCATGTGGGCTCTGGGGACACGGCTCAGTTGGTGCAGTGTTGCCACGCAAGCGTGAGAACAGAGTTTGGATCCCTGGCACCCATGTAAAAAGCTGGATGCAGTGGCATCTGCCTGTAACCCTAAAGCTGGGAGGCAGAGACAAGAGGTTTCCTGGCTACTTGGGGAGCTCCAGCTTCGGTGAGGGTCCTTGTCTCAAAAACTAAGGTGGAGCATGGTGGAGGAAGATACCAGTGTCAACCTCTGGTCTCCATATGCACATTGCACACACGTGTACCACCCCCTCAAAAGACACAAAGAGTGCTTGGCCACTGCGGCACACACCTTTAATCCCAGTACTTAGGAGGCAGAGGCAGGTGGATCTCTGTGAGTTCGAGACCAGTCTAGTCTACCTCAGAAGTTCCAGGTTAGCCAGGACTAAGAGAGGCCCTGTCAAAAAGACCTGAAGAGCAGTCTTTGGCTGGTACCCACCCCGTCTCCTAGCTTCCTTCCTCTTCCTACCTGCTCCAGACTCACCCTCCGTTCATCTTCCCCAGCTCACTTAGCAGGGAGCTAAGACGAGCTGGACCGAGCTAGAACAACCATGCATTATCCCAAGCTACGCCTGCATTAGAAACGCCATCCTGTCTCCTCAAATCTCCCAACCCATCAAGTCCAGCACTGTAAAACACAAATAGTGGGAGTTTCATTCCGTTTTCCTGGTGACGGCCAGCCCCATCTGAGGCGAACCCTGTGACCAGCTCCCTTTCTCTCCAGGTGGCTGGCCGTGGGTCTAGCAGGCTGTGTCACTGGGCATCTTGCCTACTGGGTACTTACTTAAAAAAAAGTCTGTGGCTTCTGGGGAATGGATGTTGTGAAATGGAGTGAAAAGAACTTGAAGTCTGAAGCGAGTGAACTTTCCCTCTCCTCACATGTGAGTAATGACCTGCTGATAGGAGCAGCTCTTTCAAGGATGGAAAACAACTAAGATTTATGGACAGGTCTGTTGAAAACGGCCAGCACTGCTCGTAGCCAAGGTGGAAAGGTCAGGCGATTCCTAGATCTATTCTAGGTTGAGAGGGTGAGCAGGAAGGGGATGGGAAGAGAGAAGGCAGGAGGCCAGGGTGGGTACAGAATGTAGGCAGGCTGGCCCGCTGGGAGACTTCCTGTGGACATTCTGAGTTTTATGCTGGTGTGAACAGAACCCCTGTGTACAGCACAGGGTGGTCAGTGAAGGCCTGTGCCCCCTGCAGAGCCCTGCTGCACACACTCTGAGGGAAATGGGGTAGGGATGACTGGACGGATGGAGATGGAGGGGTGTTGTCTCAGAAAGACAATTCTGCTTCTGAGGGCTCTGACCACTCACTGTGTGTTGGGAAGCCACCAGAAAAATATCCCTGCCAGTTTCTCAGAGTCAAATCCAATTTTTGGCCAGAAGCTATTCATGTTTGGATCAGTCTCTTACTTATAACTCCTGAAGGGTGAGGGAGGAGCGGAGGCCCAGACTAAGGGTGCTGGGTATAATGTGATACTGCACGTGACCCCCTCCTGTGAGTGCAGAGCCAATGATTTCAAGTGTGGTTGTATAACCACATCTTCATCTTCAAAGTATAAAAATAGAGTGTGGACTATCCAACAGGCCACCCCATCACTTCACAGGCTGGAGAGGTCAGAGGACTTCCATCATCATGGCCTGGTGGCAAGGCTTGTAATACCAGGGACTTTTACTCTCTGGTATGACCGGACTGAAGTGCTTGGGGAACCTGGCCAACCCAGCCTGCAAGGCTCATTCTGGCTCGCAAGGGGCCACTGGGTCTACAGGGAGGCTAGGCAGGAAACCCGACCACCTCGAGGTCCACAGCCATCTTCATCTCCAAAAGCAGAGTGCTAGAGAGGCCAAGTCATGGCCTCAGGCAGCCACTCTGTGCCGGTGTGCCTGCCAACCTGCTGGCACTGGAGGCCTGTCCTTCAAAAGCTCCTGGTGTGGGTGAGTGGATGAGTCTCCTGCTGGAGAAACACCAGAACTGAAGAGGGTGGGTCTGACCAAAGAGACAGTGCTGAGGTCTGAAAGGCTGTGTGGACAAGGAGGTTCAAGGAACTGCCTGGGCCTTAAGAACCCAAGACACTTATGCAGGCTGACCCAGCACAGCCCAGGACAACACTCACACGCGCGTGAAGTGGGTATAGGCAAGGTGAATCTACACGGACCGGGGACTCTCCCCACTCTTGGGTCCTTCCAAAGCATGACTCTGCCGTGCCCCTCCACATCTCTAGTCTTTAGACTCTAAGTGCCACCACCTACTTAATTCTCCTTGCGGTCGATTCTAACTACATGCTGATGTAACCACAAGGCTCGTCTTCTGACCAAGCCTTTGCATTTTGGGTGTTGGATGGGGCCTGAGAAGTAGAACAGGGACCCACATTTACATTTATGAAGATAGTGACAATTTTTCAATCAAAATTCTTATATGATTTCCCTTTCTCATAAACGTGGCTGTGTGAGTTACTAAGATAACACAACATGGATGCACATGAGGTGAAATCTGCTGTCTGTGAGTGGTACCACACTGGAGAGCAGGGGCTCCCAACAGCCAAGGCCGGGGCTCAGATTCACGCATGTCTGAGTCCCCAGCTGTTCGTGTGTATGCTGCTGTCTCTCTTCAGTACTAGGACTCTGTAAGGACAAGAGGATGCCAACAAGATGGCACGTGAGAGGTGTGCATCTATTTTCTAACCCATCTCCCCATCACATGGAGAAACAGACTTTTAGCTGAGCATGTGGGCACTTAGCTCATCTGACAGTCTGGGGGCTCTGGCTGGGACCTGTAGAGCATGAGCAGGTCTTGGCTGCTAAGACTGATGGGGGCAGTGATGTACTATTACAGTGGCCTGCCTTCCTTCCGATTCACCACTGTGCAGATGGAAGTGGGGCTGGACCTGCCATCTCGAACCACAAGAGGGATGGCACACATAGAAGCTGCAGCAGCAGGGAAGAAGGTGAGGGTCCCTTATGACAGGACCACCACAGTAGCCTGCTGGGCCGTCCGTCAGGCAGTGAACCGCCGAGCTGTGTAAGCTGCCATGAACTTGGTCTGTGTTACGACATCACATCCATGCCTACTAAAACACCAGTGGCTTCTAGCTTGAAACCAGAGTCCCCTTCAACAGATGGCTCATTGGTTCTATCTGGTACTGTCATTACCTCTGCTGGAGGTGAGGGGAGGGAGGCAAGATCACAGTGGAAGGGAGGAGCCCAGAGAAGATAAGCCACTGCCAAGGTCAGCTTTTTGACTCTCACCGTGTCGCTCTAGCTGGCCTGGAATTCAGAGATCTGCCTGCCTCTGCCTCCCAAGTGCTGGGATTAAGGTCATGTGCTACCTACCACACCCAGCTAAGAAATTCATTTTGACAAGCTCCCTCAGTACACTCGCTGAAGATATCCTGTCCTTTTAGACACACAGGACACTTGCCGCCTCAGAGAGCTGGCCAAAGCACAGCCCCTAGGACCCTGTCCAGTGACTATACATAAAGCCACATCCAAACTACTGTCCTGTGCTCTTTACATATGTTGGGATTCTGCTGTGCTCCAGCTGCATGACTGCACATGCGCAGTTCAGGAGCTAGACAAGGGGTCTTGAGTTTTATGTCATCAGTGTACGCGGGTGATTACGTATGTGTGGCTGTGATCACGCAATCTGTGCATGTGTGTTGTAGCTCCATAAGCCCACATGTGCTTTAAAGAGCTGTGACTCAGACCCCACCCTCTCTCTGTTCTGTTCTCTCTTTCCCCACCATCTTTCCCCCTCTCTCTGCACATGCTCCTTCCCCAGACCTGGTTCTCTTGTTCCCCCCCACCCCTCTTCCTCCTAATAAAGCTCTGATACTGATACTGGGGCAGTCGTGCCGGTAACCAGCGCCGCTTATCATTCTTACAACATAGAGACCCCGAGGGACATTAGGTTTACAAAATGACACTGCCTGAATGCACACACGCACTCCCAGCACGGGCCCAGGTAAAGTTCCTCTCTGAAGCATCCCAACAGCAGCCATTTCCCTCCATTCTGCTCTGCTTTGAAGACCTCCTGTCATGTGGATTCTCAGTCAAAAACGGGGTACAGGAAGAAGAAAGCCCAGGCTAGCCTACTCCAATCAGGCCACCTGAGAACAGGATTTGGAGGGTTTTGTGGGTAGGATGAAGGTTTTCCAGAGCTCAGACAGCACTCTTTACTTGCATGATGGCAGGATGTTAAAGAACACGGGCTTCAATATGGCCTATGCAGGGCCTACTCCAGGGCTTAGCTCTGAACTTGCCAAACCTCAGGCTATATAATGTTGCAACAGCATGGACTGGACAACTGCATGGTAGTTTTGGGAGAAGAACTGTATGGTAGTTCTGGGGCTGAATGAACTCAGGGGGCTAAGGACATGTATCTGCTCCATGGAATGCTCAGACACTAAGGAGGAATTGGGGGAGAGATGCTCACCAGCAGGCTCCTTAGGTCACCTAGCCAAATCAGGAGTGAATGAGACCAAAGCCTATCCCGTTCACCATAATTCCCTTACCAGTTTAGGTTCCAAGAGGAAAGGCTTGGGAGAAGGCGTAGCTTCCTGTGCCAACCCGAGGACCTCAGTGTGATCCCCAGCACTCATGTGAAAAAGCCGAGCACAGCAGCACACGGCTGTAATTCTGGCCCCGGGAGCTGGAGAGACAGATTCCTGAGGCTACTCCAGTCAGTCCAGCCTAACCAGGTAAGCCCCATGCTAGTGAAAGACTGTCTGAAAAAGAAGTGTAAATGGTCCGAGATCTGCAAACCAAGAAGGTGCTTGCCCCGGTGAACAGAGAGAATGCTGCGTCCCGTGTAATCCTACCATGGCAAGTGAAGGCTTCCACACAGAAGGGAAGCCAGGAAAGGAGGGCTGAGCCATGAGCAGTGGCTAGCAGGCACAGCTACCCTTTGCTAACTGGGACAGTGAGACCCTGCCAGCCGCGTCAGCACCAGATGGCTTAAGTCCTAGACTGAGGGCTTATCGCCGTCCACAGAGGTCAGTCACCTCAGGGTCAGTGACATTGGCTGTCAGGAACAGCATGAGGAGAGGCGAAATAATGCAAAAGTGGCCTCATTTCCTCGAAAGGAGCTTGTTGTCTCTCTCTGGGGCTTAGTCACTGGGAGGCCATGGAAACAATCCCATCACCCCAGCAACAAGGCTCAGCCAGAGTACTCATGGACACCTGCAAGCTGCTCCTAGGTAGGTGTGTTAGTTTGTATCTGCTTCTGTACAGCATGGGAGCCAGCTGCCAGTGACGCACTGTCTGAACACAGGTGGACGTACGTCAGGGGCCCAGGCTCCCTGGGAACAGCGACAGATGGGAAGGTCAATGTGGTATGTAGTCAGTGGAGCTTCACTATGACAGTCCTCTACAGGCGATTCGGGGAAGGGGTGGAGCCTCCAGCCCACCCTGACCAGATGTCCGTGACTTGAAGAAATGAATGAGGAGACAGAGACCATTCCTTCTGTGGCAAACTGCAATTCCTCCCTTCCTGTGTCTCCTCCACCAGAACCCCATGACAGAAAGGACCACTCTGGCAATTGGAGGCAATGGAGGAAGCCCAGAGCTGGCCTTGGGGTGGGGTTGTATGGAGGGAGATGCTGGCTTCATAGAACATTCTCTTCTTCCACCCAGGCAGCATTTTCTTCCCTGTCTCTCAGCTCACCTGTCCTAGGAGTCTGCACTGGTCTCAGAGGTCACACCTACATTTCTGTCACTTTCTCTGTGAGAATCAAGGTGTCTGGGAGGCATAGTGCTTCCCTGAGCCCCATAAGGTTCATGTTTCAGACTCCGTATCCCACTAACAGTGTCCGTTACCTCTCCTTGCCTTTAGGTCCCTCATCTGTAGGTCACAGCTATGACCTTGCATCCCTGGGTGACTCCCCGCCTCTTTGAGGAGACTGGAGGACAGGCACACTGCAGTCTTTGGTTCAGGACTGCCTGTCGTCTCTGGAAATGACACTCTCCCATTTTAATTCTCCCGTCTGTCTCGGCTCTAGACCCCAATCCACATTCTCAGCATCTACCTTTAGTGTCTGCTATCACACGGTAAGGAATTTGGATATGGTGGCACATACCTCTAATCCCAGCATTCTGGAGGTGGAGGGAAAAGGAGCAGGGGTTCAAGGTCATCCTGGGCTACACGAGAACTTGAGGCCAGCCTGGACTACAAGAGAAACATCCCCAAACACTGAAACAAAGAGAACAAACCACCCATAGTAGTTTAGAAAATCGCTAGTGTGCTCTCGACTTCCACTTCCTAGACCTGTAGCCTGCTCTCAGAAGAGGGCACGAAAGGGCAAAGCTTTAGTTAACACAGGGTCCCGGCTCCAAGTCTCACTCTGGCCCTCAGGGTCACGGGGCTCAGGACACATCGATTTACTACTCAGAACTTTTTGTCTGGCTTCGAATGAGGAAAAGCATCAGTGTTCTTCTGGTGCTACAGGCTAGTGTGGAGCATTCAGAGGTGGAGATGGTTTGTAGCATCTGCCCAGAAAACCGGGACTTGAAGGAAGTGTCCTTCAATCAGGGCAGCTGCCATTGCAGTCCCCCAGGAGGATGTGTACGTCCTTAGTCCCTAGGCTGGGCCTCCCCAGGGTGTGTGCTCATAAATGAACTTCCATCCTGGGGCTGGACACAGGGCTTAGTGTTGAAAAGCACTGGCTGTTTTTGCAGAGGATATTTTTTACTTATTTATACACAAATATTTACTTAGAATTTTATTTTCTTCTTATGTATATGGGTGTTTTACCTGCATGTATGTCTGTGCACCATGTGTGCAGCACTCTCAGAGGCCAGAGGAGGGTGTTCAGGTCCTCTGGAATGGAGTTACAGACAGTGTAGAATAACCATGTAGGTGCTGGGAACTGAACCCTGGTCCTCTGGAAGAGCGACTGGGAGTGCACTAAAGCACTGAGCCATCTCTTCATCCTCATCAACACATCTTAAAAAGCCATCCTGCTTGAGAAAGCAGGGATGACAAGGCAGAGAACAAGGAAGTCTGGATCTGCCACAGGCCAGACGGAGTAGATGCTCGACCAGTCCCTAGGTGAATTAGTGTTTCCAGGAAGCAGGGGCCTAATGGAGCTTACAGAGTCTGCTGGGACTGGGATCTCCCACTTCACGGCAACTTCTTTTCTTTCTGTTCTTTTTCTTTCTTTGAGACAGGATCTCTCTACATAGCCTGTTCTAGAACTCCTATGCAGACCAGGCTGATCTTGAACTCACAGAGTCTCACAGAACAATTTTTTAACAACTTAAAATCCAAGGGGGTTTACCTCCATCTCTCTCTCATCAGGCCAGTGCTGAAAACACTAAATCCTTATTGTTTTGAACTATTTTGACTGATATATTCTTTCAATCCATCCATCCATCCCTCCCTCCATCCCTCCCTCCATCCATCCCTCCATCCATCCCTCCATCCATCCATCCATCCATCCATCCATCCATCCATCCATCCATCCAACAGATTACACAGTGATTTTTAGTGGATGCCAGGGTCTAAAAATCAAAGCAGGGAACAAAAACAAAAATCTACTCTATACAGCAAATGGGAGGCTGGAGCAGGACTACCAAGAGTTTGACACCAGCCTGGGTTATGTAGTGAATTTCAGACCAAGGCACCCTGGGCCACAGGGTGAGGCCTTGTCTGAAAAACAAAACAAAACAAAAAAACCAACAAAAACAATCAATCAAACAAACCAACCAGGACCAGAAAGATTGCTTAGTGGGTAAAAGTAGCTGCTGCTATGCTTGATGACTTGAGTTTGATCCCAGGTAGAAGAAAAAACTGACTTGTGCAAGGTTCTTTGACCTCCACCATGTATGCTGTGGCACACTTGTACATGTGTATACACACACACACACACACACACACACACACACACACACACAAATAAAACCAGTTCTACTCTTTGGGAGCTGCTGTTCTGCTGGAGGGAGTGAGAACAACACACACTAAAAACCGCAGAGGATGGAGACAGCAGGGGAAGGATCAGCAAATGCCTGGGTGTGCACCACAGTCTGGGTGGCCAGGCAGTGCTCTGTGGAGTGGTGCTGAGGCTGAGACAGGCATGGGGTTAGTGGGTAGGCAGGTACAGGAAGGAGGAAAGGCCAATGCAGGAAGAGCAGTGTGTACAGAGCCGAGGTCCTCAGGCTGGTGTGACAAGCCTCAGGAAGACCGTGGTGGCTAGAGCAGGAGGAGAGAGAGCAAGAGAGGGTCGGCTCAGGAGGGCTTTTGGTGCTGCTCAGGGGGCCAGGTAGGGAAGTGGGCAGGGGAGCAGCAGCATGGGCAGCTCTGTCACTCTGGTGAGCCCTCCCATCAGGAGCCCCATGGACAAAGTGGGGCAGGAGGAGGCATGAAGCGCAGGCTGATGGACCTGAAGAAGTCCAGGGGAGAGAGGACAGGGCTCCAACACCAGCACGGGAAGTAAGACTGAGGATGGGCTTTGTGAGTGCTTGCTGAACGGTGGACATGGCTGATCTCATTGTTTTCACATATGCAGGATGTTACCTTCAAATGGAGTGGTTCTTAGCTTTTATGGTCCTCCTCCTCCTCCATTTTTAAATTCCATATATATCTGTATGTAATTATGTACACATGAGTGCAGGTGCTCATGGAGGCCAGAGGCTCTCCCTTAAACTGGACTATAGGTGGTAGTGAGCCTCCCGGCTTGGATGCTGGGAACTGAATTTAGATTCTCTTTAGGAGCAGTATGCGCTCTTAACCTCTGAGCCGTCTCTCCAGCCCCTGGTCCCTCCCTGAAAAAGACTGATGGCACACACAGAGGACTGATTCTCAAAGGCTTTAGAGAATGCACCTGAGCAGATTAGTAAGAA